TAAATCGTCCACCAATCTTGACCCCACATTTCTCCTCATAGAGCCCAGCCTCCCGGATAATCTGTTCTGCATATAGGTTGAAAAGATATGGAGATAGGATGCATCCCTGGCGTACACCCTTCCCAATTTTGAACCATGCAGTGTTCCCTTGCTCTGTTCTGATGACTACCTCCTGGTCCTTTAAGCATGTTTATTCACAATCAAGCCAAATTTAATTCTGATGGCTGATTTCTTATTATCTAGATTGTTCTTTTTTGCCTTTTCATCTCTCACTGTTTATTCTGTAAGAAAATAGTCGCTCCAGCCAATTAACTGCACTTCACATAAGACATCTGGTGGGGAATAATGCGAATTTCATTACTATTTATGTTGCAGTTAACAATTTTTACTGACCTCTCCTTCATATTTCTAGTTTGAAACTAAGAGATGCCAGAGTTGGGGCAGTGTCTGCTTCCCTCACCACATACCTCACCCCTGCACAGACATGAAGCTGGTTCTGTAACACGAGGATGAATGAGCACAAGAGCTGGGCAGAGAAAGAAAACTCTGAAGTCTATAAACCAACCAAAATACCCCATCTATCACTTTTTGATGCAAAATCAGGTAGCAAATCAGTCATAAACTGGCACCTACCTTCTCTACATCTGCTTTCTTTTCTGTGAGGAGAGCTACTGTCCTTTTATAAGCATCATTAATAAGTATTCGAACTTCATCGTCTATCAGTCTTGCAGTGGCTTCACTGTAAGGCTTCTCTAATACCATATCCCCCTGACGTGGAAGATCAAAGGAAATCTGTCCCACCTTCTCATTCATGCCAAACTGAACAATCTGAAAAAAGAATATATGGTTAATGACAGGCATCTATTCTTCCTGACAAGTCAATGGACTTTTGTAAAATGGCAGGAAGTCTTTACAATGACATGAAATTTACGCACGTCAGTGTATTATACTACATTTTACCCTGGCAGTATATCCTACACAATGGGCTTAAGTTAGCCAGGCAGCCAATGAATAGCAAAGGGTTATAAATTCCTCAAGTAGGAAGCAAAACCAATAAACCAGACATCTACAACAGAATTAGGTGACAAACAGGTGACAAGAAGTCTCCAACATGCAAAAGACCTGTACAATATTAACTATAAAAAGGGGAAAACGAGGAGAAACAAATATGGCAACTCCGAAAAAATTAGAACACCAAAAGAGCCAATACGTTCTTTCCAGAAATTGTGGCACATTCATGGGAAAACAACTTGAACTACAAGAGCTTTTGTAACCTCTAGTTCACTATTTGATGAAAAACTGATGCCTTTGAGTTGGGGTGCTGAAGAAAAGAACTCAATATCCTGTGGATTGCCAAGAAAATAAACAGCCCGTCCTGGAGAAAGTGCAGCCAGGTGCTCCTCGAAGGTAAGGATGGTGAAACTCTGTCTCACATACTCTGGGCATGCTGTTAGGAGGGGCCAGTCCTTGGAGGAGAACATCATGCTTGGAAAGGTGGAAGGTAAGAGAGGAAGACCACTGACCAGACAATCGACACAATGACTACAGCAGTGGGCTCAAGTGTTGTTGGCAATGGTGAGGATGGCAAAGATCTGCAGGGTGCAGATCCGTTGTTCACAGGGTTGCTATAAATCGTCAACTCAATGGCACATATCAGTAATAGTTCACTAAGTCTAAGGGACAAAGTGTGGGGGAATGGCCTAGCCTAGACCCTCAGAACTCTCAATAATCCCTCAAAGACCACCTTCTAGACAGTCCCACACAGGAAATCAAGTCTGAATTGCCTGAAGAGGGAAGATGCACACTAGAAAAAAGTGGTGAGCAGGGGTAGGAGATCTCACCAGGAAGTTATTTTTTTGGAAAAAAAAAAAACAAAAAAAAACCCACTTCATGAAATCAACAGGAAAAAGTAACTCTGAAATCATAAGACAAGAAAAACCATCCTGGGAGCTCAGGTGGCCTAGTGGCAAGGAACTACAACTACAATCCCAGAGGCGCACGGTTCGAATCCACCAGATGCTCTGCCGGGGAAGGAGGGACAATCTCCTCCTGTACCAGTCAGATCTGATTTGACGGTACACGCACACAAAAATAAAAATTAAAAAAAAAAAGAAAAACCATCCTAATCACTCCCCTCTAAGAGATGAGAAAAAGAAATTTCATGTAAAAAATGGCAAGTGACAGTTACCAGAGCTGAAGGAGGAGGAAACAGTGCTACTGATGAAGGTGTACAGAGTTTGTTACGAGAAAAATGGAGTAAGAAACAGAATCTTTATCTAAAAGTACAACAAGCAGAACAGAAACAGTTTGATAGAACAGATGAAAATCTCATAAAAGAGATGAAAATCGTACCTTACTATTTCAAAAGAGGCTTAAAGATATTAGGAAAATAATAAAGTATAGGAAAGTACAACATCTGTCAGAATTCCACGAAACTTGACCGCTAACAAGTCATTCGGATTCCTGGCAAACCTCCATGGGTTTCCCAGAGCATCACATCTTAACAGAGAGGCTGCTGGATCAGAACTCCTGACCTTGCCTTGGGCAGTTTTAACACGTAAGCTACTATACCAGTAGGGCTGCTCAGAGCAGAAAAAAAAGAAAAACATTATTTCAAAATGAAGATTCAACTTTCTAGAACATAAAAACAAATAATCATGACAAATAATGCCTTCAGAAAAATGGAAGGTTAAAAAAAAAACCAAAACCAAAAAAAATCTGAAAATTTCTTTTCAAATATCAAGCATGAAAAAGGATTTGAGAAAGCGACAGGTACAGAAGACAAAAAAGGAGCTAGCACAAACAAAACAATCGGTATTTTCAAAGACTGCCACTTTGTATCAAGTTCAAAGTAAGCTTTATTGTATGGGGAAGGTCACCTTGGATAATAGCAAAGAGGCATCTTTCAGGTACCCAGGAAAAACCGGTGGAAGAACGTGCTCCTGGGCGGAAGGGAAGCAGGGAAGCTGCACACTGGGGAAGGTCACCTCGGATAATAGCAAAGAGGCATCTTTCAGGTACCCAGGAAAAACCAGCAGGAGAACGTGCTCCTGGGCGGAAGGGAAAACATAATCTACACAAGAGTTCTACAGGACACATCACCTTCCCTTGGAGACAGTACAATTAAACTTAAGAGACACTGGTCAAAAGAAAAAAAAATGTCAGCAGTTGACGTGTTTGGAATCACAGAAGCCAAGAAAGCTTAAGATATAAGCTGTCAGATCATGGTTTGGACAATGGAAGATATTTTCTGAAGGGACTTGGCAGATGTGAAGGGTTATCCTGGTGGAGGGTGGAGCTGGGAAGTAAGTGGGTCAA